CGTCGCATCAATCAACGGCTTTCGAACAAGGTCGTGCCAGATCTGGGCTTGTGTATATGTGTGTACGACCTTCTGGAAGTGGGTGTGACCTATATTTTACCAGGAGAGGGCAGTGGACACACGAGAGTGAAGGTATTGTCAAAATATTTAACTTTGGGAATTTTTTTCAAATTCTTAGAAGTGTTTGTGCTGCGACAATTGGTTGGTTGAAGGTCAATAAAAGGTCCAAAAAATGTAGGATGAAGAAAGGTCCGATAAACAAGTAATCGTGATCAGCGGCGTGCATAACCCCTATAGGCTACGTTTCAGTATTTTCTTTTTTTCAAATTTTTGGGTACCTGGTAGTTGGGTCAAGTTTCTGTGGTACAGTCATTTTAAAACCGTGCATTCCTTATTTGATGATTAATAAATCTGAACTAGCCTAGCTTGTAACGCATAGGGGTATAGGGAGCGTTTTACCTACAGAATGTGCCGATAAAATTTTCCCTTGAAATAGAAAATCAGAACTCTTAACACAACAGATTACCTAGGAATGCTATAAATTTCAGTTCCGTTTGGTTGTGTTCCGTCCACATGTTGACGAGGTGATCCAGGCGCGTGTGGTCTCATCGAATAGTCTGGGTCTCACCCTTTCTACGGAATTCTTCGAAGACATCACAATCCCTGCTGAACGTCTTCCGGAGCCACATGTCTTCGAACAGAGTGAACAGGTACCAATATTGCCTCCATGGAGCTTTGGATTTTCTAGTGTTATTATTCTATTTTTAAGTAATTTTTAATATATTTATCCTGGTGTTTGTTTTATTTTTGCTCCATTATTTACTTTTATTTTCCATTTTCTGCTTCTCTTTAACCGTCTTTTTTTCTTTTATGTCTTTTTCCCCTTTGATGGCTTCTTTAATAAATTGCTTCTTAGCTCTTAACTACTTATCTAAACAATTGCAGCGGCTAATATTTATTGTCAACGATATAAATAGGAAGTTTTAGCATTTCAGCAAGTATGTGCACAAAATGCAAAAAGCTGCCTCATGCTGGAATCGAACCAGCGACCTTCTGTTTACTAGACAGACGCTCTGCCCCTGAGCCAATGAGGCGGTGGAGTGCATGTGTCCGCACTCTCTGTTCAATCGGCGCAGAATTGCCCCTCCGTGTACCGAGCACTGCCATCACATTCCGCAGTTCATTGTTGATTTTCTGTATAATTTCAAAACTACGTGGTTTGACATGGAGAATATTTCTTTCTTTGCCATTTTAGTCTTTATAGTACTGTTTAGATTTGGTACTGGGAATATCCATCAGAAGACGGAGAGCCTCCTGCTAAGCTCTACATGGACCCTGGTAAGACTGTGCGATTTCGAGTCGTGGAGAACATTTTTAGGTGAATCATGCTTATTATTTCCTCAATTATGCGAGCTTTTTTGGTAATCCGGGGTGTAGAAAGCTCGAAAATTCCTAACTACAGGCACTAAAGACCATGCGAAATTAAAATTTTATCATCACTACTACTATTTCGAGCGAAATAAAAATCAAGTACAATTTTTTCTATTGTTCTGGTCGCTTGAAAAGCTGTACCATAGCAGTTAGCTTAGTGACGTGGCAAGAACGCAGACAGCTGGCATTAGCGATGTGAAATGTCCATTACGTTCCTTTTGCGTAGTTATTTTTGCGTGCTTGTTGAGAGAGTAATGCTTTTTATCAAGAGTTTTTCGTTACGAAGATTATGCTGTTCATTTTACGAAAATGATGCTGTTCATTCATTTGAACAGCGTGAGTCATGTGCTGAACCCGAATGCGTAACAAGAAGCTAATTCAGTATTACCGCCACGGTACCGTAACCCAAAGCGGCGCCCAGTTAATTGTAACTCCGCAATGGACGTACGTATAACACTGGACTTTACGCCAGCACCACCACGAGAATTGTGCGGAAACGCTTGCACGTACTGCACTTTTAAGGATGGGTGGGATTTCATGCACATTTCACTTAGGCTTTCTTTCGTCTAGACGGATGTTCTTTATGCTTGGCATATGTGCAGCGTTTGCCAAACACAAAGAACCTGTAGGTCGAGACGTATCATGTTGTACGTTGATTACAACGCTTTTTCCTAGCTATTTGCAATTGGAGAATAATTGCATGAATATAAAAACCGAATTACTTTTAATTTACTCCAGACCACAATATTCTTTTACAAGTGCTTTCCCAACTTATTGCATGAAATTTTACTGCATGCCTAGTGATTGGAAAAGCGAAAAACGTCACTAT